GGATCCACTTTGGGCGCCACACTGCCCACAGGCTCTACGAAAATAAATGCTTAACTATTGTCCTGTCAATATAGCTCCCAAACAACTATTGACCGTTTTTCCTTATGCTCTGCTCGATTTTTCGTTTTGTGTTCTTACTGAGCGCTTTACATTGACCTGTTCGTGAGGCGCTCTCTTGTCGAACATTGCATAATGAGAGATACGAGTGACGCTCGCTCAGAGACTTTTTAAAAGACTGATTGACTGGTAATGCCAACGCAAACGGATTTTTTAATAATTTGTTTTCTTTTTGCAAGCAAAATTTGTATATGAGCAATTCAATCGGTTTTTTCTCGGATTCTTTGCTTAAAATCTGAGAGAAAAACGCTTATGTTGCCAAAAAAGAAATCGGTCAACAGCTATTTGCTAGCTATGCCTGCCAACCATTAACATGCCTTTATGTTGGGATAATCAGCATCTACCAAGGACTCACCGGAATGCGGGCACCGGATAAGACTGGGCTGGGCAAACTATAGCTAGACTGTGATCCAGAGCCACACGAGCGTAATTTATCTCGTCTTTAATGTCGACTTTGGGAGCCACACTGCCAACGGGTTCTGATAGTAAAGCCTGTATTTAGAGGATGCTAAACAAGGAGCCTGAATGTTGGACTCGATTGATGAGGGGTTTACCTAAAGAACGGCATGGGGTACGATTGAGCTGGACATATGAGCGCCTTGGATGCTCCCTGACGAGTCCTCGCAAAGGTGAACTCATCCCGAGTATCCACTTTGGGTGCCACTGAACCCACGGGTTCTAATTTGGGAATCGAAATTTCGTTAATAAGTTGCTTAGACAGCCCTGAATGTTGGTCAACGGATTTAGGACTAACCTAACTATGGGCACAGGATATGCTTGGCCAGGACACTGCATGGAGAAGTCCTCTGATAGCTTCACTTGCAAAACTTGAAACTTATCGTGCAAGCTAGTAATCTTGGGCGGCACCGAACCAATGGGCTCTATATGTTTGAAGAAATAAATGTTATCCTTAGAATATGAACCTTTAGCCTGAAATTCTGGGATAAAGTGAAAAGACTCCTACCTAACTACAGGCACTGGATAGGCTTGACCTGGACACTGCATGGCAAAGGCGCTTGCCAACTTGACCTGCATCAGCTGGAACTTATCGTTAATGTTGTTGATCTTTGGCGGAACGGAGCCAATGGGTTCTGAAATATCAATTCACATGAAAGACAAACGTAGGCCCCAGACGAAAACTGAACCTGTGTTGGGCTAGGGGTAGATTTACCTATTGATGGGCACGGGGAAGGCCTGGCCAGGACACTGCATGGCGTACCTCGCACTCAAGGATACCTCCATGGTCCGAACTCTTTCCAGCAAGTTTAACTTGGGAGGCACCGAAGCCACCGGTTCTGGGGAAAAATGTAAAAACTCAAACACCACTAAGCTGCAACAAAAAACTGCCCAAATGCTAACAAAACACCGGATACCTACCTATATGCGGGAATGGGAAACGACTGGGCAGGACACTTGAGACTCAAGCTCCGGCCAACGTATCCGCGGGCATTGGCCACCTCATCGTCTATGCTAACCTTGGGTGGCACACTGCCTATGGGCTCTGGAAAGGAATTTAAAGGCTGAACCAAACGAATAACTACATTGCGAGCTGCTTGAATGGGGACAGAGACTGAGCCTAATAGAATAATCACTCAAATTGTAATGTATGAAATTGGGAGAACGCCCTGTAAATTGGACAATTGGCCAAATTGATGGCATGCTCCGCGCACCTGTGGGCTGGCATCGGATATGACTGGGCCGGGCACAGCAAAGCGAATCCGATTCCACTGGCTATCTCGCGTGTCTGCAGCTTGTCCTGAATATTTATTTTCGGCTTGACGGAGCCAACGGGTTCTAGGAGCAAAAACAAGTCACAAAAAAGCTAGGAAAACTGTCTGCAATGCCGAAAAAGGGGAACCCACCTGAAGGAGGGAGTGGGATACGACTGAGCTAAGCAAAGAAGGGCATAGCTACTCGCCAGCTCCACGTCTATGAACTGGTGCTTGTCCTGGGGATTTACTTTGGGTCGGACACTCCCCACGGGCTCTAAGGGAATTCAAAGATTGAAAATCGCTCATTGCAACTGACTGAATGTGTTTTGGCTCTTTAAGAGGGAATCCGAATTGAATCTTACTTGAAAACTGGCATGGGATACGATTGAACCGGACACTGAATGTTGAAACTGGTGCCGCTTTGGACCTGCATCATCTTGAAGCGTTCCAGGAAGTTTAACTTGGGCGCTACACTGCCTACGGGCTCTAGAAATTGGTGAACTTTTAAGTAATTGCCTAAGACTCAGCCTGACTTTTGAATGTTGGGACAGAGATTTACCTAGAAATGGGCTGGGGATAAGCTTGAGCGGGACATAGAAGACTCAAGCTCGTCAGTCTCTTAACCTTGACATGCTTTAGGTCATCGGAGTTGGTGATCTTGGGACTCACACTACCAATGGGTTCTGTAAGATAAATGATTCACTATTCCGAGAAAGAAGTGTTTGCTATTTGAAAACTGCACGAATATAACTATTAGGACTAGACATTTACCTAAAGAAGGGCTGTGGATAGGCCTGGGCAGGGCATAGCAAGCTTATATCGTGGCTGCTTTTCCCCTTAAGGTGCTTGAAATCTTCTCCTGTGTCTATCTTGGGACTGACACTGCCAACGGGCTCTGAGGAGAAATGAACAAGTTTTTAAGCTCAAAATCCTCATTCTATATGTACTGCCTGAGGTGGGAGGGGATGGGCTTGGATGTGGAACCGAAATTACATATATATAGGCACCGGATAAGCCTGAGCTGGACAAAGCAACGTTACGCTGGCCTCAAGCCTAACCTTGACAGTGCGAGAGTCGTCGCCTGAGGTGAGTTTGGGGCCAACACTGCCAACAGGTTCTGGGAATGGGTGGCATTAGTCACTAAAAAGCCAAGAATTCGAAATCCTGCCTGAAGTTGGGATACGAACTGAGTTGTTTACCTAAAGAAGGGGACCGGATAGGCCTGGGCCGGACACATGAGTGTGACACTTTGTAAAGCGGGAACCCGAGTCAGGGTTATGAGCTCCTGGTTGCCATTGCCGTTCAGCTGCGGACTGACACTGCCAACGGGTTCTGCAGTCGAGATTAAAATGTTAAAGGACATGGAGAAACTTTTCCGCCTTAATGTTGGGTTGGGATTACCTAAAAAAGGGCACCGGGTACGCCTGAGCTGGACACATGAGGGTGGCACTATGGCCCAAAGACACCTTGGGTATCTTAATGGCATCATCGCCGGCTGTCACCTTGGGACTCACACTCCCCACCGGTTCTGTGTTTCGAAGGGGAGTTCAGGAAGTTAGTGCTAATTACTGCCTCAGTGCTGCCTGGACGTTGGGGTTAGTTTACCTATAAAACGGCACCGGATATGCCTGAGCTGGGCAAAGCAGAGTGGCACCGGCCGCCAGGTTGACCCTGAGAATTCGCGACTCATCTCCACTAGTAAGACGAGGACCAACGCTTCCAACAGGTTCTGGGAAGTGGTAACAACCAGGATGTAAGGAATACTCCTCATAAGGGAATCCTTCAGTTGGGATAGGCGGTTGTCTTACCTAAAAACTGGCACTGGATACGACTGGGCAGGACACAACATGGTGGTGGCTTGGCCAGCGGCAAATTGAACTACCTTGATGTCGTTACCAGAGAGCAGTCTGGGCCCAACACTAGCGATGGGTTCTTTAAAGAATCAAACCGGAGAAAGTGAAACTAACGGAAAACGTATACTGAAACTGGCCAAAGTTGGTCTGGGGTGCGTCACTTTCCTACCTAAACAAGGGAGCTGGATAGGCCTGGGCGGGACAGAGAAGGGTCTGGCTAGCGCCGGCCTCTCCCGTGAAACTGCTGCTGGTCAGCGTGTTTGGAAACTTGGGTGAAACCCTGCCAACTGGTTCTGTGAATGAAGCGAAATTATTGAGAGTTAAAAACTATACAGGAATGGCCAATAAGTATAAATGGAACAGGAACTGAAAGTGTGACTTACCTTGGGCGAAATTCTAACGCGAATTCTAAGTGAAAAATGCCAAGGCTTGGACATAATTTTTGACTTAATTTTTTAATTTAGCAAACAGTATAAGATGGTTATGTTGAGAACGGACCACGCCTACTCTAAACGCTTTATTTCAAGCTCTCATCATTGTCGAGTACCCTATCCCAACATTCAGGCAGTTTTCAATTTAGACTAAGGCTACAGCAACAAGTCTTTGGTTTTGGAAAAATTTCTATGCTTAAATTGTAGGTGGCATAATTGAAAATTGTAAATTGTTATTGTAATTTTTAATATAACTATGTACGCAAAGAAAGAGATTTTAAGCGAAAAATCATTTTGATTGCATTTGAATGACCTCAAAGACTTGTTGCTTGTTTAATTTTATAAAAGTCCTTTGGAAACTGCAGAGGATTCTGTGTTGTAAAATAAATAAACCACATCCTTGCATTTTCCAAAATGACGCTAACAAATGCTTGAAATATTATTATTATTATGTTTACATTTAATTTAGAAAGGTTTCATGACGCATTGCAAGTTAAGGTGTTCATAATTAAATTTACATATTAGATTAGATAAATTATTTTTTCATATTTCAAACATTTGCTTTGTAGACTGGTAATGCCAAAAACCATTATTGAAAGTAGTTCAATGTCTGATTTGTAACATTTCAGTCAAGATATCGGAGAATAAACTTAAAAAAATGATTTGTTAAAAGAACTTTAATATTTTAAATTTATATATTTTTATGCCACATTTTTTTAAGTTTACTCTGCTATAAGAAAGCTTCAGTTGTAAAGCGTGTGATAAATATTTAATTAAAATTATTTTAAAAAATATTTATATTTTAGTTAAAATTGTATTTATCACTGAAACTTTCTTGTATGTTTTTTTTTTTTTATAATTAAAATTGGCCAACAAGGCGGACTTACCTGTGATGACCAATCGACCCTTCGTGGCACTCAATCTCGTCTCTCCTGTCAAGCGATGTTTGGTTCGGCACTGATAGCTCTTGTATCCATCCTCGGGTCCAACCTCACGAATGTGTAGTTCTCCAGAAGGCAGTACGAGATATTTACCGTCTGATTTCAGAACGGTTCAGGGAGAATTAAAATTAAGCAGAATAAAAAAGATATATGAGTGACTTATTGTCAGGTGACCCAGAGAAATCTTAAAGAGAAAACTCAATTAAATTCGTTGAATTTAATGGATTTTTTTATTAAATGCATTTGACTGTCACATTCCGATTTAAAATTGTTATTAAGTTAGTTGTCTTTGCAAAAATTTCAATTAAAATGTGCCAATATTTTGTATTAGTAAATGCATTAAATGTGACTTATCAAATGCAGATAAATACGTGGATTTAGGACTAAAGAAGGACATAATGCAGTTACTGTTATTTTCTATTTTGAAAAGGATAAGAAATAAATGAAATATACATAGAATTACAAGTGAGTCGCTGACAGATTCCTTCTTCAGCCCTATACACGATCTAAAGAATTCTGTTTAAACTTTTAAGACTTTTACGTTTATATCTGTTTGTTTTCATTTTCATTTAATTGTCGATTTCATTTAAACAGATTTCCCTGTGCTTACAGACTAGCTATACACCAGCAGTGTCAGGAATTTGAGGCCTAAACAAATCAAAGAGGTCTAACGTTATTGAAATGTATTTACGTTTATATATAGTATATATATGTACAAAAGATATGTTTATTTAATTTACTCGAAACAATAATCCTCAAATTCCCAGACATTGCCTTTTATTTTGAGCATGCACCAACAAAAATGCCAATAATTTTAGATGATATGCGGATTATAGATAACATATACAGTCAAAGTATATATACAGCAATGATTTGATAGTTGATTTTCGATTAAATGTATGTACAGATTGTTAGATCGCTGGTCCATTTATTAGCATTTTTGCATGTATTTACACTAGACTACAGGACAACGCTACGTTCAACTACATGAAGGGGTTCGGGATTCTCTTGGGCAAGTCAGGAGCGACTCATGGATGTTTTGGAGGGGAAAAAGAATAAAGGGGTGGGAGGGGAAAATAAAAAAGAAAACGAAAAAGTATGGGTGGAAGGAAGGAAAGACAGAAAACATAATAAGTAGAAAGCCTAAGCAGCGCTGTACATGGAAAACCTCGCATTGGAGGAGGCTCTATAGAGACCAAGTCGAAGCGAACCGAACTGGATAGGAGACGGAGGATGTTACGGAGGAGGAGTGGGCTGAGAGCTCTTATCTGGTAATTTACCGCTGGTGGCGATATCCTCCTGGGGATAGATAACTCGCTCCTCGTCCTCCACCCATGAATCGACCACTATGAAATCGGCCACGAAACTGGGTATGTGGCACTTTAGGATGGCGCTATTGCCCCTGAGTATGGACTCGTCCATGACATTGACGGTGTAGGATTGAGGCACAACTGCAAAGTTTACGTAGAGATTGATTGAGTGTGGAGTGGGGGATAAAATCATAAGAGTAAGAGTGGCGCCGGTGGGAGGAGTCCCCTTCATGTGGCTAAGCTAACTGCCTAATTCAAGTCTACGGGTCTCGGCGTCCTACCAGTTATGTTCTTGGTGAAGACCTCGCCCTCGGTATCAATCCAATCCGTTATGTCTATGTGATCCGCCACAAAGGAGGGCGTCTGGCACTTGAAAATGGCAGCATTGCCCTTGATCACGTATTCGTCGTAGACTTGCGACTCAAAGAACTGCTTTACCACTGCAAGACGAGATGCGGGAGACTAAAATAAGGACTAAAGGGGTCTGGAGGTGATGGGTTTCGATATCTATGTTAGGTAGGGTAATGCGATTATCGTAAGGGTTACCCATGGAGTCGTCGGGAAGGGGCCTCTGAATCTCAGTGCCTGCCTCGTCAATCCAACCCTCAACGTCGATAAAATCGGCCACGAACGACGGCACCAGGCACTTTAGAGTGGCCGAGTTGCCACGAAGGACGAACTCGTCGATTACGCGTGTCTGGTAGAACTGGTGGACAACTGAAGGAAATCAAAGGGAACTTGGTGAAAGTAAAACTAAATAAAAGTGGAATATGATCGCTGGAGAGGATAGGGTTGGACGTCAGAGGGGAAGAGATCGTTAGTACCCGTCTCATCGGCATTATTGGGATAGTAGTTGCGACCCTCAGAGTCCAGCCAGAGATCGACGAACACAAAGTCTGCCACGTACGAGGGAATCTCGCACTTCATCACCACGGAGTTGCCCCTAATGACGTACTCATTGTCTGCCTCCGATTCGTAGCTCTGTATGACGACTAAGCCAAGGAAACATAATCATGAACATAAAATAGCGTAAGAGTAGGGGAGGGGAAGCAGACAGGAGGAATCTCTAAGGACCTAATGCAACACTTATGAGCGAGAGACTACATCTTAGACTGTACCATAGGCGCTGGTGGCGTTATTGCGCCACAACTCGGTGCCCTCATCGTCCACCCAAGCCTCGACCTGAACGAAATCGGCCACAAAGGATGGAATTTTACACTTGACCACTGCCGCGTTGCCCTTAATCACATATTCATTCTCGGCCTCGGTTATGTAGAACTGTGAAACGACTGTGGAGTGAAGGAAATCATAAATTAAGGGATATCGGAAAATGGGAAAATACTGGGAATGGAATGGGACCGTAAACTAATCGCATAAACTATTGGCATCGCATCGCACCGTAATTGTCTGAGAAGGACAAGACGTTGCCCTCATCGTCGATCCACGACTCCACCCGGACAAAATCGGCCACAAACGAAGGAATGGAACACTTTAGGACAGCCGCATTACCTCGGATCACATATTCGGTCATAATCTCTGCCTCATAGAACTGATTGACAACTGCAAAGGTGCGTAATAATAAAATGATACAGAAATGATAGAGGAGAATGGAATGAAGAGGAAAGAAACACCCTCAAGTAGTTGCCTATAAAGTAATCTTTAATGTTGTTATTAGTACCATAATTGTCAGAGGGCCGCAATTCGGTTCCCTCCTCGTCTATCCAAGACTCGACACGCACAAAATCGGCCACAAACGACGGAATGGAACACTTAAGAACCGCCGCATTGCCCCGAATCACGTACTCCATCAGGATATCGGCGCCATAGTACTGATTCACAACTGATTCGGAAAAATAAATATACGGAAATGAAGGGAAAGCTGAAGCTAGACAAAAGGGAAAAGGAGTGGCTTTGGGAGTCCTGCTTAAGACTAACAGTTTTAAGAGTTTCGAGGGGGGCTAACTATACCGAAATTCTCCTCTGGAACGTATTCAGTGCCATCGCTGGCCACCCAGGCCTCGACGCGTAGGAAATCGGCCACAAAACTGGGAATAGTGCACTTTAATACCGCCGTATTGCCTTTGATAACATATTCGGAAACAACCTCAGCCTCGTAATACTGATTCACGACTGTAAAAATGTTTGTGTTTAGGAGAAACTGAAAATAAGTGTGATTGCGCAAATGGGATTAATGAAGGTGTTAGGATGGGGGCCGGGAATATCCGCTATAACCATTAAAGTTGTGTACCCGCTCCCTGTTGTTCGCCGAGTGTGCCGTATAGCTGGCCCTCTTCGTCCTGCCAGGACACGACCTGGACAAAGTCCGCCACGAACGATGGAATCGAGCACTTCAGCACCGCCGCATTGCCCCTTATGACGTACTCGTTGTTGACCTCCGATTCGTAGAACTGTTGCACAACTGGAGGTGAGTTCACACAGCGACTGATTATATAATGAAAGTGGCGAGGGATGGGGGAAGAGGTAGCCTAGAGAACCAAGGCCCTACACCTAGCGTGCGGCGGGCGTGAGAAAATGTGCAGCGAGCTAATTGAAACGAGAGTGTCTTCTAACAGCGACAGCGGCAATATTGTGAGTGCCCCTCGTCTTAATGGGAGTCCAAAGCGCAATCGGCTTGCAGGGCTCCGCTTCCCTGAGAAAGTCTCTGGCCAAGAGGTTAATAATGGTTCTGATAACATGGCTCATCAACACGAACCCATCCGAGATAGCGCAGATAAATGCATTAAAAAGGTAAACATAAAAGATGCAAGGGGGAAGTGGGTAGGTACTTATCCATAATTCGTGTACGTCACGCAACTGTACAAAGCCCGAATAAAGCTGGGCCAAGGTGTAACCAAAAAGCTATCAAACAAACCGTGTTCGCTGCCCAGGAGGAAGTCTTCATTCTGGTCGGTGTGCCAGGAGACAACGCTCACAAAATCGGCCACGAAGGAGGGGATTTCGCATTTCAGGACTGCTGCATTGCCGCGTATTACATAGGCCTTATTTACATCCGTGTCGTAGTATTGGGCAACGACTAAAACAGCAACATCAGCAACCAAGTAAACGTGAGTAAATAATAAACCCAAGATAAAGTAACAAACATAAGGTCGGGGCGTTTGGGAAGCGAAACACTCTGAGGGATCGAGGAAGCTAAAACGAAGGAGCGAAGGTTTTCCAACTGTTCCAGGTTCTACCTAACCAGTGTTGGTTAATTCGGTTACATTTTGAGTTGAGAATTGTGTGTGTATTTTACAGAATAGTTGTAATTAGTGTGGCGTTCGCCTGTTAACTGTACTTGCACTGTACACAAGTGTTTCTGTGAGTTTGACTTTGTAGTGTTGTACAGTAGTGGTTAAAGTAGTGCTATTTTTCTATAAGCTCACACACAGAGAAGAAAATTCTGTGCACTTGATCACACACCATATTCAGTGCCTGGATAGAAACTCTCTTGCTGATCGCTATGCCAGGATATAACATTCACGAAATCGGCTACGAATGACGGTATATCACATTTCAAGATGGCGGAATTTCCGCGGATCACAAACGCTTTGTGTATATCCTCTTCGTAGTGTTGAGAAACGACTATACGAGTAGGAGAAATTAAAATAAATATGAGTTGGCTTTAAATAAGGAATGATGGAAGTATAGAATGGAGTGGAAGGAGTGCAATGATATCCGCGGAACCCCTGCATGCTTCTACAAGACCGGAAGTATATGTATGTGCTTCGGATAGTTTGGATCGCACCGTATTCCGTCCCCGGAAAGTAGGTCTCCTCCTCGTCGGCGTGCCATGATACCACCTCGACAAAATCGGCCACGAATGAGGGTATCAGGCATTTGATGACCGCCGAGTTGCCCCGAATCACGTGCTCCTTGTTCACATCCGCCTCGTAGTACTGGGCAACCACTGGGAAGAGCACAATCATTGCCTATTAGTTGGGACACATTCTCACGGTACCTGTACCCAAACATCCGATTTAGCCTTGAAAGTTATGAGGAACTTGGTTCCTGGAAGCGTCTAGCTTTATTGCCACCTTCTGGTTGAAAAATCATTAAACGAAAGACCACGAAACCGTCAACATGTCGCTGCCTGACAGCCAAAGTTAATTTCAATTAACCAAAATATTTTATCTGCCGGTGTGTGGTTCAGGGAGTAGGCCATAACTCATTTCAGCCAACTAGCTCCAGGCGGCTGGACAGCAGACTATAGTTTTCCTCGTCTGCGCTTTATTCACACATGAGCATACTATAAAATGATAAATTCCCCCGGTTAATAGTAAGCGAAAGCAAACGACAATAATGATGTCAGGCTTGTGGGGCAGCGAGGAAGAGGTCGAGGGCTGACTGTTGGGCGGCTAGGTGTGCTGGCTAATTGCCAGGGAACACGTCAGCCGGCGATGAGTAAGCGGGTGGTTTGGCTCCAGCATAATTAGCTAAAATGTGTTCTGGTCTGGCCTATTTAAGCCTGCTTCATGCAAGCGGAAGTGACTGATAGCCAAGGGAGTAGAGTCTGGCCTATAACTCGATAAGCTGGCAGCCCGTCAACCCCATACGGTGTGCGCTTAATAAGGTGACAATTGCATCATGACCATCTTCTTCACCATCATCATCACCATCCTCGTCGTTAGCGGAGCTTGCAGCGTGCACATCTTCCAGGGGCGACGACATGTCGCGGGAGCTGTCAAGGGTTGCCGGTGGAGTCACTGGCAAATGGCAGGTACAGCTGCCGACAAAAGTCAGAGAGGCAGGCAGAGGAAGTGAAACGGCGCCAACAAACCGATTAAAGTGAAATGCCAACTTGCATTAAAATTCCACTAAAAGTTGCAAAACGCGACTAAGATATGTGTGCGAAAATGAAAGCGTGCGGAAAACTTTGGCAAAGCGCAAAACGTTCGATGGAAATCACGTGAAAACTCTGTTTTAATTGCCTCAGCCGGTGCAACAATAAGTCAAACACGAGAGGTCAAGCACTGCAGAGAGTGACTTGACACGCAGAGTCCGCCGGAAGCTATACCAGCTGTGAAATCAACGACGATTTGGCGGAGGATTTACGAAACCAACGCTGATGGGCCTTCGATTGGGTGTAGCTGGAATAAACTTTGTAAATGTAGGGCAGTGCAAGTTCTGGATGGAGCTATTTTTGATTTTTTTAAATTACAATTATAGAAATAGAAATGCAGATCGAATTGGAAAGTTACTTTACTTTGAGAATGGAACAGTATCAATTTTCCTTAATGTTCGCAAATATTATTCACTTTCTTTCTTTCTTCTGTCTATCTTTTTCGTTACAAGTATTTTATTCTTTTTACATTGAGAAATGTCTCTCATTACTTGACTCGGTTTGTCCTCCGCTTGCACTGCCCTCGATTTACCTCTGAAACCCCTCAACTTACCGGCTCGCACGTGCACATCCCGCGAGATGATTGATCCAAACTGGTTGCGGGCCAAACAGGCATAGACCTGGGCGTGCACCTCCTGGCGGTAATCCTCGGCGCGGAATGGCGGGAAGACAAGCTTGCCATCGGATGAGATCTGACGCAGACCGGGAACGTCTCCCACAGCGGTGCCGTCGCTTCGGATCCAAATAATCTCGGGCATGGGGTTGCCGCTGGACTTGCACTCGATCTCGGCGCCTGTTGAGTTAGAGAAGTCAATGCGGTTGGTCGGTTCCTTGAGGAAGACTGGTCCTTTCTGGTCGGCATCTGGGGAATTGGCGGCTGAGCTCTGACTAGCCAAAGCTGAAAAGGAAAGGGTAATATAAGTATCTATAAGTAATGGTTTTTATATAGAATAAGCACAACAAATTGTAATTAGACATACAGTACTGTAAGGTTTTTTTATCTTGAGCTTTAAAAGACTATATCAACTGGCATATTTTCCATATTTAAAAGTCATAAATGTCTTTATAAACATTAATAGGCAGGTGATAACTTGCATTGAAAGGTTATTAAATTATTGTTAATGTGAAAATATGTGATATTATCATATGGTTTACATTAATGTTACAGATGCCATCATCAAGCCTATGATTGCTACGCTTTATGGTCAGAACATCCGCAACGGAAGTGCATTTGTAGAGGGTCCGGTCCTCATATCCATGTCAACAGTTTGACTATTGTTCCGGTCTCGGTTGTTTGACAATTGAGTGCCATGGATCAGTGACTCCCTGTTCTGGACCCCCAGCACAAAGCGAGTTTTCATTTCTATGCTCTTTCGAAGTCGAGCCAAGCTTCACTGCCACTTCCACCCACTGCCACCAACGTAAACAAAAGGCGACCAGGCAAAAATCGTTCGTTGACACTCTTCAGGCTCCCCAGCCCCATCCCAGCCTCCTTGCATTTGTTGATGCCGTCACTGCTGCAATGGCAAACGATTTCACATTCTATTTTATGCACAGCCACGCCGCTTGGAATGCCATGCCCCCAGTTTACCCAGAGTTCCTGTTGCCAAAGGTGTTGACAAATTTCACCACGCCCCCTGTTGCCGCCAGTAATTTCAATGCAATTCTTGAGGCGTGAGTCTGCAATTTGTCCAAAGATATTTAAAGTTTTCCTAACTGCAATTTGCCACACAATAAATGTGTGTATTCTAAGATGCCCTTACAGGTGAGAGGTAAGGATGAATTTGGAAAATATACAGTTTTAAAATAAAAATAATGTTGAGAGTTATGTTAAAGAAAAAAAATGTTGACAAAGTATTTCATATCAATAATTATAAATATATTTGTTTACACAAAAAATGAATCTAACAATTTGAAGGCGGAGTCCCCCTATTCATCAGCTGTCAGAAACGTATTACTTTCTTAAATGAAACCCAATTATTTATTTAACAACAGAGTGGACAGTGTCATGTCGCACGCACTGAAAACTCGACAAATTTGTATTTGTCGTTTTGTGAAGTGACTCGGAGGCGTTCCTTAGGGGCTAACCAAATAAATTGATCAATTATTTTCTTTTTTAAATTTCAATTATGTGGACAAAATAGAAGGCACGCAGGAAGTGTCACATTCAAATTAAATTGTAAGAATATTCCCTCCCAAGCAATTTATATTGTAAAGGAATCGAGACTTCTGTAACTAACGCTGCAAATATGTAGCAGTAAAATCAATGCAATTTAATTTTAAAACATTGCTAGAACTTTTGAGACCATATCTAGTATACCGATTAAAGTTAATTAGATGAATGAGAAAAGCTACTTAAAACTTCACATATATACTATACTCTTTAACCCATATAAGAAAATTATATAGAATTCAAATAAACGAAACAACACTCCTTTGTGTCAAAGCAAGTGTCATATCTAGTTTCTATATCCTTTTCCACTGGATATGTCTGATATTTTCAAAACGGACTGTATCCGCCAGTACACATGTGCATTTCAGTGCCTAAAATATATATACAATATTCAGCATATGTCGGCCATACGGAAACATTCGACAAACGCGCAAAAAAGCAAAGGAAAAGTAAGAAGAGAAGATGAGAATTGCGTATCTCGAATTAAATTTTGCAGCTGTTGTTTATGGTTGTTTCCGGAGAGCAGAGTTATAATTTATGGGACAGAAAATCCTCCCAAAAAAAATAAGCTTTCATATGTTTTATTATAAATTATAGCTATATTATTATAAATCTTAGCTCAGCACTTAACTGCTTAGTTACTGAATGCATTTATTGCCATATAGTTTTTGAAACACTTTAAATTTGTCTTAAATCTTGGCCAGCTTCCCCTGCAGCAAGACAGCAGGTGTTTTTGTTTTCATTTATTGCTTCGTTTCCAAAACTTAAAGCTGTTGTATGGACAAAAAAAAAAAGCAGCCAGAACGAAACCGGTTGGGGAGCCGGCTTTTTGAGCAAACAAAGCAAGTAAAGCAAAGCTTGGCAAAGCAAAGTCAGAGCTCAAAGCAAGAGCAAAACTGCGATTTCAACGGCGGCACATCTCAAGCTAATCAAGCGCCTCGGAGCTATGTTTGCGGAATATGTTAAGCTTTTCACAGCGCTATTTTCCACTTAAGCGGGCAATTTGCAACCATGATGATGATGATGATGCACTTGCCGACATTTAAGGTCACAATTATGCACTTCTTAAAGCCTGAAGAGGAAGGTGTGACTCAGAACGTGGTGCTCAAATATTTGCCACTGGTCTTTTCTTGGGTCAACAGTAGCGACGAGCCAAGAAGCCAGAAACATGGCAAATAATAATAAACTCATGCCTTTCAATGACTCACACAACAAGCAAAAAAGTAATAGGGTTAGAAAATACAACGAAAAAGCTTGTGAAAACACGCGATTCTAGAGGTGTCAAGTTACGACATCCATAAAAGCAAGTTCAATATCTACTTCAATCTAAAGTTTTTGAGTTTTGTACTTAAAATAACTCTACTTCTGAGGAAATAATATTTAAATATTGTTTTACAGCTTGATAACCCGCTTCCGCTCAGTTAATTAACCCATTGGGAGGCATGCAAACCCTTAACACCTCTTGAGGGGGAAATTAGAAACTAATAACTTCCGGCTAAACAAAAACAAAGGCCCAAAAAGTTCAATAGGCACACACGCATATGACCCCGCCCACCGAAATTAGTCCACATCACGCACTCTTGCCATCGAGGTCAGCCACCAAAGTTCTCGCTAGCCAGGATATGTCTAATGGAGGGAATGGGTATATATTCCCCTTCGTCTCCACCTGAACGCCACAAATCTGAACCATTTCAATGTGATTCCGATCGGTGAAAGAAACATCTGCTCGGGAGTTCAGAAACCAGTTCGACGACAGCTGTTCGACGGAGGTGTGGCGGAGGAGATGGAGAACAGGTCTCTCAATGCCAGTAGTACCCACTCATTCATGCGAATCGTGCGGCATTTACCCACACACTCATCACGTTCAGTTAAGGTTTATATTACCAATTACTCGACTATAGAAATAAATAAAATGTAAGCATGCACCGATGAAAATTGAAATTCTTAGGGTAGTGAGTTAAAAAATACAAAAATGGGAACTTTGTATGAATGCCTGTTTTTGGACAAGTATAATAATAAACAAAATTAATCTGAGTATAATCAAAAATATGATTGAACCAAATATGAAAACTACAGTTGAGCATGCTCGACAGTGAGATACCCGACCCCCAAAAGCATTCTGGGTGAAAGTAAAGGAATACGACTAATTCCCTTTGTATACCTAAACATTTTTTGAAAAAACTTAAATACTAAACTTTTAATAATGTCTACTTTAAAAATATAATAAACATAATCATATAAATTCGACCCTATTTAATACACATTTTAGAGTGATATTCTCGCAGTGCGGCCTCACAAAATAATTGCTTAATGCCGTGACACAGATAATTGCAGACGTACTGCCCACGCCATATTCTAACAGCTCGGCACAGACAACTGCAAGTCACCAGTGGCAGTCCGAAACCACAAGCTACTCGTAACCTGTCCACCTCACCGTGGGCACAAGATGTCAGGGAGTCGCGGTGACGACACGCCGCTCTCGACAGAAGCTGACACCGATAACAGCCACAAGCACAGGTAACCGCAGCCAGGTGCGAGAAGCGAGAGGAGAGATACAGTTAAGTCGACAGGAGACAAAAGTGGGACGAACTGGAGCAGGCCACGTGGAAGCTAGAGCTAGCAGGGATGATGATGATGCGGCTCATTGCTCAGTGAGTTGGCGTTATGGCACAGTGCTATTCAAACCTAACCTTCAGTCAAGACTAATGTCTTGCTGTATTTTTAAATAGTATCTGAAGGGCTTTAAAAAATTAAATGAAATTTGGAATCAAGTTAAAATTCATAATGAATAAGTTTCTTATTGTAAATATTACTTGTGGCTATTGGTACTATTTCAGCATTGACACCACTGTCCCTCAAAGAGAAACAAACATCAGAGAGATGGAAGAACGGGAGCTTGGGCTTGAGGGTGGTTTTGTTGTTTGAATGAAAAGCATTGCGAATCATTTACAGCAGCCAAGGGAATAATATGAGAGTGGAGCACAAAATGGGAACTATGTAAAGAAAGTGCAACATCTTCAGTATGTACGGGAATGTAACTCCATATTACGGTAGGACTTAGCAATTGTATGAATTCTAAATCGAATTATAATATTACTTAAAATTACCAAAGACTACAGAAGTCTAATTAGATATAGAAAAAATCTAATATTAAAATGAAATGTTATTTAAAATTGCATGATGACCAGCGACTACTGTACCTTTACTTCCTCGGGACAAAATGAAGGAAGCCTCAACGATAGCGACAGTAGAATGCAGAGGGGACCATCAGCAGACGCGTTTTACATATTAAATGGTGTTGACATCGTCACCGTCTCGGGCGCATTAATTAAGACTGCGAGCACGACGCCAAGAGACTTTTTAAAAACATGTACATCTATATATGTACATATATATTGTACGCAGCTACAATGGAACTTTAACTTATTTCTGTGGCCGCATGCAGATTATGGAGATGCAAACGATACATATGGCTGACGAGTTTGTAGCCCCCAAAAAGCGAAACGTGACTCAGCCAGGCAGGTGGTGAAGGTGTACGGGAGGGGGTCCAATCAAGTCCCGCCTTCAAAATACCTGGACGTACAGATCCATAGATGATGTCTGCCCGATAAGTGTCAGCTCGGCGAGTCTGCTGAACTGGAACTGGGATCGGTTTAAGGCAGGAATAAGGGGCCAACAGGCATGGGTAGATGGGTGAGGCCATGAACATATTTTACAAATTATTA